GGCCTGGGTGGTGTGACCCCAAGACCTAGAGGCAGGAATAACACTTGACCCCCTCCCACACCGCGTGCAGGCCCAAGGCCGTGGGTGGGCCCACACATCCCAACATGCCCCATCCCCCGGGGGGGGGGGGGAAGTGGGGGGTGAGGCCCAGTGCCCATGAGTCAGAGAGCTCCTTGAGGGCAGGCTCCTGGCCAACTGATAGACTGGTAGCCTGCAGCAGGGAACTGGCCCCAGCCTGGGAGGCCCCGGGAGCCAGGGGGGCCTGGGGCAGGGTCTGGGGTACCGGGCTGGGCTCTTGACCAGAAGGAGGGGGAGGTGGTTGAGGGGGAAAAGGTGGGGAGGAAGGAGGGACAAGAAGTCACCGGGCTGCGACCCCGACCCCAGGCCCTCGGCAATGGCCCGAGGCTAGGATGGAGCAGCGGAGGCTGGGCGCGCCCCGAAGGGCCGGGGGTGTGAACCAGGAGGGCTGGGGGCGTGAACTATCTCAGGAGAGCCTGGACTCGCCTTGGGTGGGAGCCGGGGCGAGCCCAGGGGCAGCGGGCAGGCAGCCAGTGGACTCGCTCGGGTGGGAGCCGGGGGCGGGCCCAGGGGCACTCACCGGCTGTAGCCACGCAGCGAGAAGGCGCCCTGCGGGGAAGCGGCCGTGCTGCTCTTGAAGTAGTAGACGCAGCGCTCGTGGACGACGACGAAGCGCAGAGGCCCTGTGGGCGCGCGGGCAGCGGCTGGGCCGGGCGCAGGCCCCGCTCCAGGGACCGCGCCCGGGGGCCCTGGGCGGCTCCAGGCCGGGCCTCCTGCCCCCACCCCAGGACTCCGCCGTGGGGCCAAATGCTGACAGATGGATGGGCATGCTGGTCCCTCCGGGGCAGGGGAGATCCAGGGGGCTGTGTGGTGCTACCGCAGGCCCGAGGGACAAGGGACTAAAGGGGCTCAAGGAAGGGCAGAGCCAGGGCCAGAGGCCCAGGGGGGCCACAGAGCCGCCTTGCTGGGTGGAGCGAGGCTGGGGGCAAGATGCCCAGAGATCTTGCCAACAAAAGCCACTGGTGTGGAGCCAGTTATGGTGAGAACCCCTGGGGCTACTGCCCCATCCCTGAGCAGCCCCTCCCATGCCTGGAAGCGGCTCATTTACAGCCCCTCCTTGGAGGCTCCCTGTTCAAAGAGGAGGGCAGACCAGTTGGAGCCCACAGAGAAACCAAACCAGTCGGCCTGAGGCACCTCAACCAGGCAGCACAGGGCCGGGGAGTTCCTGGCAAAGGGCACAGCTTGAGCAAAGGCATGGGACGCTCGTGGCTGGTCAGAGGGGTGGGCAAGGCCCCGATGCTCTTGGGCTTCAGTGTCTCGAAGCCTGGGCATCTCCCAGGCCTGGGGGCTCTCTCCCTCTCCCAGCCTGCTGTCCTAGGCACCAGAGCCCCGGTCTCATGAAGCTCTGGAGGTCCAGCACCCAGATGGCTGTTGGCCTGGTACGTGGGTTCATTGCAGACGGAGTGACTGCCTGACTCACTGAACACCCACCTGATAAGGCGAGGGCACCACCCAGGGGCCAGACCTACCAGGCCAACGAGGGCTCCCACCCCTGGCCACAGGCTGAAGCTCCCTTGTCCAGCTGGTCAGCACTGTGCACCAAATGCCCTCCTATCTCCACCCGCTGCACCACTCCAGACCCTTCCACAGTCCTGGGGGCTGGGGAGGCCAACCTCAGGGCCCCGAGGGGGTGCCGGCAGGGAGAGAAGGGAAATTCTGGAGGGCCCACCAGGTAAGGGAGGAAGAAGAGGCTCAGAAAGGAAGGGTGCTTGGCCAAGGAGGTCCAGTGGGGCTCAGCTCTGTCCCCACGTCCTCCCATTGTGCTCCCCACCACCCAGGGGACTCACATTTGAGCAGCTGCAGCTGGGTGCCACCCTTCTTGTGCAGGTAGCCAGCCTTGGCCACACCCCCAGGCATGGTCAGCAAGTTCTGGGCACCAATGGCCTTCATGGGGACGGGCCAGTGCATCTCCTCGGCCGCCATGAAACTACAATAAAAAGGGAAGAGGACATGTCTCAGCCAGGGGTGGGGGCCGCACACTCGCCAAACAATCGTTTGGTGGGCTGACTGGGATCCACACAGTCTCCCAGTCAGCCTGGAGCATCGTTCGGGCAGGGGCCACCCAGTGCATGGTCTCCAGGGGCAGGCTGCCTGCCTCAGGGTTAACCCAGGCCCGCAGGGCCCTACATTCCAGGCCCTGCTGCTTAACAGCCTCTTCTTACTCATGTTCCAGCTGCTCTCCCAGAAACCTGGCAGGTTCTTTCAGTTTCACACTTCCGGCCTCTGCCTGGAATGACTGCCACCCCTCCTCACACGGAGAACTCCTACTCGCCCTTCAAGATCCAGATTCAGACTCCCCTCTTCTGTGACGAGCCTCAATTCCCAGTCACACTCGGGGCCTCCCGCACCGCACCCCTGGTCCCTCTGAACAGCACCCACCCACCCCACACTGTTTTATCCAGTGCCTGCCCCCACCCCACCCGGGGCCTGGTCCTTCCGGGAGCCCCAGTGGAGTTGGAGGAGCAGTTCGGGTCAGACCCAGAGGCCCAGCCTTGCTGGAACTCCTGCCCCATCCCCAAACACACACACACACACAACAACCACTCCGCTCTCAGCAAACCGGCAGGCTCAAACAGATGTTTACCGCCTCCCGCCTCCCGCCTCCCCGCACGCCTGCTCCTCGGCCCCTGTCCAGGTCGCTCGGGCTGCCCGCTCCAGCTCCACCTGCGCACAAAGCCACCCCTCTGGCCTGCGCCCCAACCAACAGTGGAGCCTCCGACAAAGGGCGCCACCCCCGCGCCCGCCCGGCGGCCCGCACCGGACAGAACCCCGCGGGCGAAGGGAGGAGGGGGCCCCGCGCCAACCCGCCCCGGGAGGTGCTGGCAGACGGACAGGCCCTCGCCCCGTCCGAAGCCCCCAGACCCGCCGGAGCCGGCCCCCGCCCGCCTTTGTTCCCGCCGGAAGCGCCGGCTCGGTCGGCTCGGTCCTCACAGCGTCCACGCGGCGGGCACGGCCGGCTTCGGGGGGGCGGCCCGCGCCCC